AGCTGCTCACCCAGGCAGGCACGCTTCCCTGGGGAGAGAGCAGCCGCCGGGTGTTGGGGGGGAGAGGGCAGAGTTTTCTGGAGGAAAAGCCCTCTTCTTTTCCCCCTCATTGTCCACCTTACTGTGTTTCTAGGAGGAGTTTTGCAACCCGAACCACAGCGGCCCGCGTTTTATCAGCAGGTCTTCATCCTGCGGCGCTGGGGTAAGCTACACCGACACGCGCTGTCTGACGGCGCCCACGCTAGGCAGGCGGTTCATTTTGCTTAGGCCGAGTACAACTAAAGCACTAGAAAAAAGGGGTGATATTCATTCAGGAAACTTTTTTCCCACCAAAAAAAGAGGCCGGGGAACCCTGCTACCTCCACAGCAAGACCCCGATGCCGTGAGCAGCGCGGGGCCGAGCGTGCAGGGTGGCCGCCCTTGCCTTCACGTCGTTCCTAGGGTCTCCTGCACGTTCGTGGGATTTTATTCCTCCTTATCGCTCTTCCCTGCACGGGAGTGGAGACAGGGCGAGGGTGTTTGCTTTGCTCTGCCGCAGCTGCCCAAGCTGGGATGGACGTTTGAGCTGTACCCCGAGGGCGTCCCTGGGACGAGGGGAGCTGCGCTCGCGGGCGAGCACCGCCGTGATTCCCCTTCGCGCGCTGCCGCAGCCCGATGCCAGGGCCTTAGCGCTGAAGGACTGAACAAATCCGACATCTCTTACCTAGAGAAAATGGTAGAAAAGCCTCTCTCTTCTGGAACTGACCATCCTTCAGGAAATGCTCAGGGTTAAAAGTGTCGGGGGTTTCCCACTCCTTCTTGTCACAGAGCACGGAGGTTAAATTTACCATCAAAATACTGCCCTGAGAAGAGAAACAGAAAATAACGGAGCCCTGTCTCTGATTCTGTTGTGTATGACCCCACCTGCCCTTTCCTCTCCGTCGTTAGCAGCGGCGACCGGAAGTCTGGTAAAAGGACGCGGCAGGGCTAATGTCCTTTGTTGGCCTGAGACCCACCAGCACGTCGGCGGTGGCTTGCGGCTGCCTGCTCTCCCCAGCGCGAAGGGAGCCGTCTCACACCTGGACCCAAGGTTGCGGACTTTGGGGCAAAACAGCTTCGCTTCAGGTCATGTTTATTGATCCCCTCCAAAAAGAAAAGCTTTCCCATTCTATTTTTATATATATTTATATACATATATATATATATTTATGTAAGAGATTTCATAAACCTAGCTAGTTTTCAGAACCTCCTAGAGAAAGTGAAGAAATCACATCCCGAATTTCTAACAAATAAAAGAAATTGAATTTGGATGTTCTTTATGGAGCAGAAGGACTTAACCAGGCAATACCAATACCCCTCTCTCCCCAGAGACCTGGGAAAAGCCCTTGCATATAAGGATGTCAGCTTCTGTTGCACTTCCTCCCCAGTCGTCCCATTTTGCACTCATAACCCTTTGTCTCTTTGAAGTGGTGGCTGCAAAACACAGGGAAGGTGCTCCAGGCGATTTCCTTGGAGGGGCCAATTTTAGCCTCCGATTTGCCTTGCTCAGAGCGCGACAGAAACGGGATCTGGTGGCTGAGGTTTCCCCATGTGTTTGCTAACTGGCAGCAGGGGCCGGGGTTACCTTGGGCACGAAGAAGTCCCCCAGCACTGTGTCCCGCATGGTCAGCCTGGGCAAGCCGAAGGGGATGATGTTGCTGCTCCTCTGCACCTCGTGGATGACAGCATTGGTGTAGGGCATGCTGCTGCGATCCTCCAGGGCCGGCTGCCGAGCCTGCCCCACAACTGCGTCGATCTCCGCTTGCACACGCGCTGTGTGGGAAGAGCAGGGTTCAGCAAGGTGAAAAGAAAAAAAAAAAACAAAAACACATGTCCGTGGAGCAATTGGGCTGGTTGATGTGAAGTTCTCTCAAAGACTAGCTCGGGAAGCCATTGTCTATCTCAATATGAAAATATGTGTTTGCTTTCTTCTTGTGAACGTAGGGGGGAATTCCCAATTTTTCTCAGCCTAGGTTGACTCTGGGAACCACCACCATGGCATGCAACGAAGCGCCTTGTGCTCAGCAGCTTCCCTGGGCAGTGCAGGCAGGAGCTCAGCACAGGCAAGGGGGTACCTGTGCTGGCACTGCGGGAGGGATGGACGGACAGACAGATGGACGGACTCAGCAGCCCCCCTGCACATGGGATGCTGGAGGGGAAGGTCAAAAGCTGGTTATTGACCCATTGCTCATTTTACCTTGAATTTCTGGGTACATGGCCATGTACAACAACGCCCAGCGCATGGTTGTGGACGTCGTCTCTGTTCCAGCAAGAAAAAGTTCCAGCGTGCAGGCCACAAGATTTTCTTCGCAGAAGCATCCGCTGTCGTCGTGCTTAACAAAAAGATGTTTTAGTGCCACACGAATGGTCCCAACCACCCGGAGACCGAGCTCAATCCTGCTGGGCGCTGAGCTCGTCCTACTGATTTGGGAAGACGCTGCAAGCACCCTGCACCTCCCCATATGGGAAAATGTCCCCTGCAGCCCTGTTGCCCCTCAGCGAGGGAGCGAACGGCCTGGAACCCGATTCCAAGCAGCAGTCAAGACTTTGGGCTCAGCACAGCTGTTTTGCCCATAATTAACTGTGCGTTCAGTCCTGCACCTCCAACGAATGCACTCTAGCATAAAGCTGAGCAGACATTTCCATGCTATCCCGAACCTGAGTCCTTCCCAAGCTTTGATTTGGCCATCCGGATGAGTACGTGGATTAAATGGAGAATTTTGATTCATTTCTAGTTGCTCCTGATTTTTCAACCGAGCCGCGGGAAGGTTTGCTCTGGCTGGCTGACCTTTGCAATCTCCTGCAGGTAGCTGTCGATGAAGTCCCGGCTTTCAGAGGGGTTCCAGTTCTCCTTGTGCTTAGCGATCATGTCGCGCACAAAACTTTTCAGCAATTTGCCGCTTTTAGAAATGGTGTGGTGGGGTCCAGGGAGGTACTTCATTATACCTGGGAAAGAATTGTACAGCTTGGGACACAAAAAGAGAAGGGCAAATTGAATAATAGACTGAAACAAACCTTACACTATCAAAACCTCAAACATCTGCAAAGCCACCCTTACTAAATTGCTAAACTGCAAGTTTTGAGGCTGATTTCAGAGAAGCAGCCAAGGCCTTGCAAAAATAAGCACCCAGGTGGCCTGGCCATGTCCAGGAGCTGTACCTGGCTGAGAGGGTGCCCATGGAGCTCCACTAGCTTGTCCATCAGCTGCAGCAGCTTCTGGAAATGCTCGTTGTGGTACTCAAATCGATTGCCAAAGGTGACTGAGCAGATGATGTTGGAAACTGCGTTATTGACCTTAAAGTGAGGGTCAAAAGGATGCCCTGGAGAAGATACAGGAAGAACAGTCAGTTCTGCCCTCGGTCCTGGTTCAGGATGGGTTTAATCAGATTGTGGAAAGCAAAGGGTGCAGAAAGAGCCAAAGTCATCTGGGTTAAGTGGAGCTTAGAGATACTCATGCTTCTCAGGAGCACTCAAAGAAAGCAGTGTTAAACACAGGCTATGAATAATGCTTTCCCTGTTGCCTCTTTACGTTAATTAGTTAATTTGAGGGCAAACCACCTATAAAAGGAGGCTGGGTTGCTAAAAGGCTGTAGGCACCGGCTGAAGGGGGAGGCGATTTTTAGCAGGCATTAGCATGCAGGGATCCATGCAGGATGGCGGTCTGGGGCTGGCCTCACCCTGCTCTTCCCCGAAGGCGTCTGTAAGGTACTGGCACTCCTCCTGTATCCGCTCCTCCAAGCTCCTCTTCCCCAGGCCGAAGTTCCTGAGTGTCGACAGGGTGAATCTTCTCTGCTGTTTCCAAGTATGTCCATTAGAGGAGGTCAGTCCTGGAATAAAAGGACAAAAAACCCACTGTGAGCTAAAGTAGCTCCCATTATTGGGGTGAAAAAGCATTAACACTGCCTTTTGGCATGGTAGAGCGGCCAAGCACATTGTGGTGCTCATGGATGGCTTCATCTGTGGGCAAACAGGTGGTTTGTAGGATCTATGCTTAGACTTTTTGCCTCAAATACTTGTCCTGGATGAGATGAACTCACCATGTTTGTTGAAGATTTCCACGTCGAGAGGGTTTTCTGGGCGATCTAGGAAGTTTTCACCTTGGTTAACCAGCGCCTCCTTAACCATCTGGAAGCCATTGACGAAGATGTAGCACATGGTGCCCAGCTGCAGGCTGAAGACGTCCCCATATTTTTCGGTAAGCTAAGGGAAAAAATGATGAATTTGCCTGCAGGGACACCCCCAAGGGACTGTGGCCAAGGGCGACCCCCACCGGGGTAAGGACACCGAGCGGCACGAAAGCCACCTAGAGCAATGCACAGCAGAGGAAAATCAGCCGGGAAACCCCAAGCGATGGGCAGAAACCTGTCCCCAGCCTCCTGGCTGCCTGTTGCCTCACCGGGGACTGGGGACTTGAGCAAAAGCGTCAGTGAAAATCAAACTGGGACAAAGAAGGGAGAGACAAGGCAGGAGAGGGGTTACTTAAACGGTGAATGCTTATGGACGATCTCTTTATTTCTCATTACCCAAATCAGTGGTCTGAAGTTGGTGTTAATTCGCAATAAGTTAAATAAAACCCTTCAGGCTACGTTTTCAAGTCCTTGTCTCTGTTGAGCTGGGCTTTCCCAGCTCGTGTCTCACTCCCTTTCCAGAGGCCCTCTGCAGCCAAAGCCGCGGGACTCCCTGCCAGGCTGTGCACTTTGCCCAGAGAAATGTCAATTTTGGTCACCTCCTCCATGCCTGGACAAAGGTCACCCACATCGTGCAAATCTCTGCAGCCCTCCCCTGCCCTTGGGGGATCTCTGTGGCCTCCTCCTCACTTGATGGGTCCTCGTGGGCCACTTTTGTGTGGATTAACCCCTCTCCCCACATTGCCTGCATCATGTAACCACATAGCCCCCTTCCCACCTGCCCTTGGGTCCCCTTCACCCTCCTTGGTCTTGCCTGCGCGTGCAAGCTCATTACCTTCTGCATTGTCTTCAGGGGATTGCTGAAGTCCAGCTTGAGGATATGCCCCAGGAAAGGGAGGGGAAAGGGGCTCGGGGGGAAGGTTTTGGGCTTTCTCCTTCTCATGTAGTCGGTGACAAGCAGAAAGACTCCCAGGAACACCAGGAGGGTCTGGAGGGACATGCTGGACACGCTGTCGCGGAGGAGGCGCAGCGTGGGGAGGCCGCCGAAACCAGCACAGAGCAGCTTGCGCCGACCAGCTGCCTAGCCTTGGTGCTGTGCTCAGCTTCCTTCTAGACCAATTTTAAAACTAAAAAGCAGTTGGATTTGTAAAGCTTGATTTTTCTTTTCCCAGTGCTCCTGCTCCGGCTGCCGGGGGCCACAGCAGACCCCAGCCGGATGCCTCTCTCCTGGCTCCCGGCGCTGGCGTCCCGCGAGAACGCAGCGGGTGCTTGCCCGAGGCTGGACTTGCAGGCTGTCCCGGGGAAGAACATCGAATTTAACGCTGATGGACGTGCTACGTTACAGTGTGCAAGAGAGGGCGTGAGCCGCAAAGGAGCGTTTGGGAAGGTCCCGCCAAGGGCCGGCAGCGTCCCATGGCCTGCAGCAGCAGTTTGCAGTGTTCAGGTCCGTACTTGCTCTCTGCATGGACAGTTTGGGTTAATTTGCTGTCTTTCAGGTGCCCCAGTTGTGGCTTTCAAGGGTTGCTCAGGGCGCAGACCAGGTGCAGGAGGCTGAGGAGGAGTCTGGGGCTGGGACGGACCTGCTCGGAGCAGCAAGTCCAGGGAGAGAGGAACTGCCCCCCGGCCTTTGCGATCGGCAAACTTTCCCTTCAACCATTGTTTTCCTATGGGAAAAGGTTAAATCCCTGTTTTACTTAAAGGGAAAAATGTGGCTTAGAGGAGAAGCTCTCTTACTACCTCTGGCTGTCAAATACACCAGGCCTGAGCCTGCAGCGGTGCATGTGTTCCCACATCCCCTCCCATGAGGTGCTCCAGCCAGAAAATTACATGGAAACTAAACAAATTCACACCTTCTGCCTTTATGGTATGGGATCAGTACATTTAAAAACCTCTGGTTTGCAAATGATGGCAAAAAAGAAGAAGAAGAAGAAGAAAGATTGCAACCATTTATTCTCTCCCAGGAGGCACCGTGAATGGAGAAGGAAACAGTACAGCAACAGGGAAACGCAAGTTTAAAGTGGTAAAAGGAAAGAGATGAAAACTTGTTTGCTAAGCCAAAGCGAATAATACAAGTTGTACGCACGTATCGGAAGTCAGAGCTACTCCAAAGCGCAGGCGGACAGAGCGTCCAGTCCTGAACGGGCTTTGAAAACTTCAGAGAGGGGGAAAATCCACAGATCTTTTACATTTTCTCGTTTCAAAAAAAAAGGAGAGCAAAGCATTGATTAAAAACGCAACAGGATTAAAACGATCAATTAAAAGCACGGCTCGTTTACAAACCCCTGCGCGAGCGGGAGGCGCAGGGATGTGATGTGCAGAGGACTCTCCCATGTGGCACAAATCTGCAATTGCACAGCCACGCTCCCAACAGCAGCGAGCGCCTTTATTGCCTGCGACGGGGGCTTAAATCCAATGGAAGTGAAACGTGATTTAATTTTCTTGCTAGCTATTGAGTATCTGACATGTGTGTACATATAGAAGTCACTTATGAAAGTCTAGAAGGAAAAAAAAAGGAGGGAGGGAAGCTCTGCTGTGTTTATATTCCGAACGAAGCGCAGAGGAGACAGCGCAGGACGCGCTTCCTAAGCATTAATGTCAGGTTACGTCAGTGGAAAACCTCTGTACAAATTGCATACTTAATTATTTTCTGGGCTGAGGTTTGACACCCTTCCACAGCGACCCCCGGATGGGCAGAAGTAGTGTCTCACAGCATTTTTGGGCCGTCCCCGGGCTGTCGCAGGAACGATGGAGGGCGGTGCGACCCGATCAGACCGAAACCCGGCGCGGCAACGAGCACGAATCTTTGCCGGGGCGGAAGGGCGAAGGGAAAGCTGGTGACTTCCCAGTGCGCAGCTGCCGCTCTCCTTCGTGCTCGGGCTGCTGCTGGCTCGCCCGGCTCCCTCCTGCCTGTTGCTCTCCTTGGCTGTGGCTAAACCATGCCTGAGCAGCTCTAATATCAGTGGGTTTTGCCACTTTTCCACTGTGGATTTTACACAATGGAAACCATTTTGGATAAAGCTTTCCTCCTCGGACGAGTCTAATATTGAATTTTTATTGCCATTCAAGACCTGCCTGGCAGCACGGCTCCATGTTCGCTCCCGCTCAGCACGGCCTGTGGCAGAAGCTGCTTCTACCACCCTATAGCTTCCTAATGAAAATTTCTGTACATGCATGAGATATTAAAAACTGGATGCTGCTGTTGCAAGGAGTTCGGCTGAGATATGGCCTCTCCGCGCGACGTGGGAGTGTGGGGACCTCATACCACAGCAGACCTGAGGCTACCTGAGGCGTCAAGGTTGGTGTTGGCTTCTTGACGTGGACGTTCAAATGGGCACAGAAGTGCGATCCCAGAGCGTGCATGTCCCAGCCTGGCTTGTCCAGTGAGCTGCTGGGCCTTGGGCATCTAGAGACCACCACCGCATCCAAAAATGTAATGGCCTGGTGGGGAAAAGGGACCCTCTTCCCATTGGGAAGGGCTGAAATCCTGGGAAGCCAGGGCAGCCCTTGCGGAGCTCAGCAGCGAGGCAGCGCCCGGATCTGGAAGGGCTTGGGGCAGCGCGTGAGGCTGAGCGTGAATTCGAAGGTCAGCGCCGCGTGGGCCGGGGCCTGGAAGGTGAATTTCTGCAGGAGAGCCGTGAAGAAGATGAAAAGCTCCGTTCTGGCGAGCTGCTCACCAGGGCAAGCCCGCTTGCCTGGCGGGAGAGGAGAAAGCAGCCTGTGAGTGATGGATGGGCTTATGTGACAGCCATCCCAAGCCGGTCCTATCACAGGTTTACAGCCATGAGGATTTCCCTTTAAAAAATGGAGCAAAAGCCTTAGTTTAACGCACAATACTTCCTTCAATGTGTAAGGAGCTGACGCCGCGGAGCCACCACAGGCCGGCCAGCCCCGGCGCAGGGATGCCGGCGGGTCCGAGC